TAGGCCAAAACACAGTCGGAGTTATTTAGTTATTATGCACTGTGTGCTGCAGAATTTTATTATGTATACTGTGCACAACTTCCTACAACAGACCCATGGTCTTTCACATTATGGTCTACCAGCTTTCTATCCTGCTTGATTTCGAATCCGGTAGAATTTTGGCGAATTAATCAAGTCACCAACACTGTTTCGTAAGAAGTATAAATAAGACACCTGAAGAGAGATAATGTATTGGACATAAGCAACCAAAAAGACACGTGTGAAACACATTACCACACAGAAGTGAAGACGAACATATTTTGGATATTAAGTGCTGTTAACCCTTTGACTTCGCGGCCAAATATTAATACGTCTTACGAGGAACCGTTTTGGACGTATATAAACGAAAAAAAAAAGGTTTTTCAGAAAATAACCAAGGGGGCACACTATTAAAAATGCATAACGTTTAATGGGAGAAAGGGGGCTATAACCCCTTCTCTTGTATAAATTACTAAATTTAAAAAGAGATACTTTCTTTTTTCTTTTTTGGGCCACCCTGCCTTGGTGGGATACACCCGGTTTGTTGAAAAAAAAAAAAACTGTTATAATGTGCAGCAAAATGAGCACCCAAGAGATGCCCCCTTATAAAGTAAGTAGCCATGGATCAGATAAGTATGCCCTACCCTCAATCAATTTTAAACTGTCATCTTAGAAGGATGATTGCTCTGGAAAGAGAACAGCTAGACATCATCCTTCTACACTTGTACACTTTACTGCCAGTCTGCAAGGCTCAATGGGATGCTAGTTTTCCTGAACATACCTCTGGAAAATTTGCCCAGAAAATTAGTGAGATAAATACAAATTATGAAAGAGATAAGAAATTCTCTTATTTGAAGGGAAAATGTGGACACTAAAAATGAGCCCAGAACGAGTTACAAAATGATTTTTAATCTAAACAAACAAGTTTTGAAGGATGAAAGCATTAGAAAATTCCTCATTGGCCGATAGAGGAAAAAGGGAAGACATGATAACAAACAAGGTTAAAAAAGGATGGATTTCCTAAAAAGCATCTTCACAAACAGTGGAAGAACAAGGAAAAGGATTACCTACAAACAGTATTAAAATACAGCCACTGGAAATGTGAAGTGCCCTTTATGATATTAGAAATACAAAGGGAATTTCTCCATGATGGCTTTATGACTTGACCTTAAGAAGGACAGTCACTTACTCATAGTCCAGGGACTGGAAAAATAGCAAAAACCCAAAGCTTTTCTTACGGTTGGAATCATTATAAAGACTAGGGAAAAAAGTAAAAAGCCCAAATTTTTGGCTGAATATTTGTGTACCAGTCAAGTTTTAATAACAATTTGGTAGAGATGTTATGCTGTACTACTATATTCTAAAAGTAGCTTCAATAGTAGACAGTGCAAAACTAAAAGAAAGACTTCAAATTAAGGTGAGGTCAATGGTGGGTCCTGCCCCCCCCCCAAAAAAAAAAAAAAAAACATATATCCAAAATACAGTGACCCCGTTTGGTTGGGGCCATCGTAAAACTTAAGTTGCTTTTTTTTAAAAAAAAGCTTCGGCCCTATTTCCCTTTTGGAAACTCCTAACAAATTCCAATCCAAAAAACCAAAAGCCCCCAAACCAAATTTGAGCATTCTTTTTAAAAATCAATTTTCATTCCTCTTAAAAAAAAGGTCAAATTTTTACGAAAAATTTCGTTTTAAAATAAATTTGCTTGTTTTTTACACTTTTATTGTTTTTAAAACGGGGGCTAAAAAAATGCCCCCCAAGGCCCAAAGCTCCTGAAAAGCCCTTTAATAATTGAAAGAAAAAAAAAAACAATAAATTCCCCCAGAAGAAATTTAAACAAAAGTAAGGAGGAGAAGAGGGGAAAATTGCCTTTTTCGTATTCCCTTGTTTATGGTCAAACAAAGGGCCCACAAACGAAAAACTCCCACCACCATTAAGTGTGGCTTTTTTAACAGCAATGAAATTAACCCTTGGCGAGGCATAAAATTTTCTTAATTTTTTTTTAAGTTTTTTAGGGACTGCAAATATCCCCCACCCAAAAAAAACCCAAAACCCAACCCCAGCCCTAAAGAAGGTAAAAACCCTAATTAAAAAAATTTAAAACCCCGTAAAGGGGAAAGGGGGGGGGGCCTTCTGTTTTTGCTCTGCCAAAACAAAACTATGGGGGTTTTAATGGGCAAAAACCCCGAAATGTTGAAAACCAAAAAAACACAAAACAACTCCTCCAATTTTGAATTTTTATCACAAAATTTGTCCTTTTTTTACCACCCCCCTGCCAGCCTTTAATAATGAAAATTTTCTTAAAATTAAAAACTGTTTAGTTAAAAAATTGGGGGGTGGCCTCGCGGGCGAACCCCCCACATTGATGGCTTTGTGTCAGGGGCCCAATAAAAAAACCCTAACCATCCTAAAAAAAAAAATTCCGAGTTTTTTTCAATTAAATGCCACCTTTTTCTTATTTCGGGTAGTTTTGAGTTAATACCAAAAATTTACTTAACGAAAAAACGGGTAAAGGGGGGGGGGGGGGGGGGGGGGGTGTTTGAGAAAAAAAAAATTTTTTAAAAAAAAGGATTGGGGTCATTTTGTTATATTTGATTGGGTGAATGGGAAAGTACGGGGCCTGCATTTTTAGGGAAAGGGGTTTAATTTTGGGGGGTTGGGGGGGGGGGGGCATTTTGTATATAACGGTTAAATTAAAATCCCTTTTGGGGGGGGGGGTTTTTGTTTTTATTTTTTTCTTCAAAACTGTTGTATTCTGAGCACCTCTGCAAAAACAGTGAAAATTTGAGTGTGGTGAAAGTGTTGAATGATGATGAAAGTTTTTTCTTTTTGGGATTTTTTTCTTTTTTTGGGGTCACCCTGCAGGGTGGGAGAAGCCGCTTGTTAAAAAAAAAAAAAAAAGGTGTAGGAGCCTGGTAGTAGTTGGTAACAGCAACCGCTCAGGGGGTATTACCATCCCCAAGGAGTGTAAAAAAAAACCCTGAATTGTTTTACATGAGGGAGGATTGCGGGTGTCTTTTGTCTGTCTCCTAAATTACAAAATTATGGGTGTTCTGCTACTTCTACTTACATTTAACCCCTTTAAAATGGCCCAAACGTTATATACTTTTTTCAACATTGAAAGAATGAAAAAAATTAAATCTTTCTTGTTTAACATTTGAAAATGTGTAAAAAAGCTTTTTATCAACATTTTTTTTTTTATTTTTAAAATATGTAAAAAAAACTGATCTATTTTTGGAGCATAGGATTTGAACGTCGATCTTTGGCCTTTAAAAGGGTTAAGCACATACCATACATAACAACATATATATAAAACACCCCCTGGTTTTCTGCTATTTCTTTCTAGTTTTTTTTCTTGTTTTTTCCTCTTATCTCCATGGGGAAGTGGAACAGAATTTTTCCCCCTAACCATGTGTTTTTGTAAGAGGCAACAAAAAATGCGGGGACAAGGGGCAGTAACCCCTTCCCTGTAAAAATTACAAATTTAAAAAGAAAAACTTTTGTTTTTTTTTTTGGGGCCACCCTGCCTTGGTGGGATACAGGGGTTTGTTAAAAAAAAAAAAAAAGGTGTAGGTAGACCGGGCCCCACTCCCCCAACATAATTTGGTTATGAGGATAAAAAAATTATTAACGAAAGATTGGGTGTCAGACTGGGGGAAGAGTAGGGAAAGGAGGTGAATGTATTCAATATTTAGGAGGGGATGTGTCAGCAGATGGGTCTATAAAAGATAGGTGAACATAGAAATGATAGGAAAAAAGGGTATGGTGATCTTGGGGAGTCGGGGACACAAAGAATTGTCCAAGGAAGCAAAGGGGGGAAATTTAAAGAGATATATTATAAAAACATTCTTATATGGGGTGAAATGGGGGTGAATGTTGAAAACAAGGAGAAGGATGGGGGCAGTGAAGATTCATGTCTGAAGACAATGTGTAGGGGGAATATAATGCAGACAATTTGTATTTTTAAAATTTGGAGGTGGTCGGGATTACCAAAACTATTATCCAGAGGGTGAGGGGGGGTTGTTGAGGGTAAGGGCATGTAGAGGATAAACAAAACAAATGACTTAAATGTTATAAATCGTAGTGAGGGAAAGGGAGGGAGGGGTTTGGGACTAGGAATGGTTGGGGGACAGGGGACAGGGGGTTTTGTGTTAGAAAGGTTAGACTTTTAGCAAGCATGTGTGAGCGTGTAGACGGGGTGAATGGAGGCAAATGGTTTTTAGAACTTGTGCTTTTGGGTGTGAGCAAGGTAACATTTTTGAAGGGGTTCAGGGAAACCGGCAGGGCCCGGGCCGAGTCCCCGGGGATGGGAAGTAAGTGCCTGCATTCTGAAGGGGGGTTTAAAGTTCAATTTTTTAAAAATGTAGTGTAAGTGACCTCTGCAAGACAGTGTGGAGTGAATGATGGGGAAAGTTTTTTTTTTTTTTTAGGGCCCCCTGCCTTTGGGGGAGAGGCCCATGTTTTAATAAAAAGAAAAAAATAAACAGTAACACTTATAAAAATTTAAAAAAAAACCAAAATGTTAAAAATTTTGCAAAGGCAACTTAAAACAATACAAAGAGGTTTACACAAACCACACCTTAGTTTAATTTTTTTAGGACGATTCTGTTGTGAGTGGGCTTAGAATGGAACTCTGCGTTAAGTGGGAAGGGTTTGTACCCTTTTCAGGTTATAAATACTCTGTTAATCAACATAAACGTGCATTGTTGTAAATTAATTTTTTAGGTTGTAAAAAATTATTTTTGGGGCTTGGAAAGTAAAAAAAAAAAAAAAAAATACCTGTTTCTTCGTCCCGAAAAAAAATACTGGATTACTAATCAAGGGACGGCTATTGCAATCCTCTGCTTCTGCCGCCTGACAACACACTCCACGCTCTCCAAAAACAGTATCAAAACCTTCGGGGAAGGGGTTGATGAATGAGAGGGCATTTGCTTCTTTCAGCAATTATGATATCTTCATTGTGACGCTGAAAGGGTCCTGACACCTACAGCATATTTTCACGAAAATTTTTAGAAAACAATACTGGTTCCTGTTTGGGGATCAGTATGATTAAATTATGACTAAAAATGACACTGGAAAACTAACACTAAAATTTATATCAGTTTTAGGGAAAATTTTTAAATATTTACCCGAAAAAACATGGGTGTGAATACAAGTAATCCAGGGAACCTTTGTCTTCAAAATTTCGTTTTAAAGCATAAATCGCAAATAATTAAGACAAAATATTACACCTAATAAAAAATTTTTATCTTTAAAAAATGAGTAGCTGTTGGGTTTTTCAAAATTTTCATTAAAAAAAAAAAATCACTTAAAAACTTTTTTATTTAATGTAAAAAAAAAGTTGAATAGAAGTGCAAAACCAAAATATCGCAAAATTTTTCAGAAAACTGGGACAGAATATCACAAATGATCAACCCCTTTAAACCCTTTGACTTCAAGACCCCAAATCCGAAGTGTCTGTAAATTTCAAAAATTAAAAAAAGAAAAAAAAATTCCTATAAATGATAAAAAAACTTTTCCCCATGGTATGACAAACCCAAAATACAAATTTATGAAAACTTTTGGGAAATTTCGCTCTCCAAAGTTACAATTTTGGAATATATATCTCGGGATTTTGCCCCAAATTTTAGCCCATTTTCAGCCATTCCTTTTTTCAAGTCGACCAAAATTTTGGCATTTCTTTAGAAAACCCCCCTTTTTTCTATCGATTGAGTACAAGAAACTGCCCCTTTACCGTTTTTAACTACCCAATATGGGGGAAAAAGGGAATTCACCATTTCACGAAATTAAAAAAAAAAAAAGCCAATTTCAAAATAGTACTAGAATAACCAATGCAGACATTTCCTGACACAAAATAACTTTTCTCTGTTCTTAGTGACACTCCAGGCCCCCCCCCCTTATATTACTCTTGCTTTCTATTTTGAATTTTATTCACACAAAAAAAAAAGATTTACTGTTATGCAGATTACTGCATTAAATTTTAAAACGTAAATAATTCAAAACCCATTCATGACTGCATATTTAAAAGGTTAGTTACATTACGGCGGTGATTCATTTGTTTACTCTAAAAATTTTGCAAAAATTTTAAAATTTCCGCTACTTTGATTTAATTTCAAGATCGTTCTCGCGTGAAACCAATCAAAATCATTGTAAACCAGCCAAAATCTCTTTTTTCTGTAATGTTTTTTCATTCTATCAAATAACCAAAAAACGATTTTTTTTTTTTTTTCAACAAGTGGGCCGTCTCCCCCCGAGGCAGGGTGCCCCAAAAAGAAAATATTTTCACATCATTAAAACTTTTCACCTCACTCACACAATCACTGTTTTTGCAGGGGGGCTCAGAACACAACAGTTTAGAAGCATAACCTGCATTACCTGGAAGATTTCCGGGAGGTCAACGCCCCCGGGCCCGGCTGTGACCAGCCTCCGGTGGATCAGAGCCTGATAAACCGGGCTTTACTGTTGGCTGTACCAAACCAAGTACAGCCACGCCCGGCTGGTCAAACCGACTTTAGGGCTTGTCCAGTGCCAGCTTAAGACTGCCAGGGGTTTGGAAAATCCCCCTTATTTGCGGGAAGGCATTGAACATCTCAGCCCCTGACATTTAACTGAGGTCCTTAACGTGCTAGTGACACCCCTCTTTTCTTTGGGGGGGATGTTGCATCGTCTCCCAAAGTCTTTTGCTGCACAACATACCCTCCAAACCATAAATACTTTACGAAAAACACCTCAAAGTTGGCGTGTAGGCCAAAAATACAGTGTACCCAAAAAACACAGTCAAATTTTTTTTTTAGTATTATGCCTGTGTGCTGCAGAATTTTTTTTTTACTGTGCACACTTACCACCAGACCCTTCTTTCACATGAGGGTCTCCCAGCTTTCTCCCTCTTATTTGAACCCGGGTAAAATTTTGCGAATTAATAATCACCAACACGGGGTTTCAAAAGTATATATATCACCGATAGATAATTATGGACAAAAACAACCAAAAAGCACTGTAACACTTACACGAAGTGAAGACGAATTTTTTTGGGATTTTAATGCTGTTAACCCTTTGACTGTCGCGGCCAAATATATACGTCTTACGAGTACCGTGTTTGACGTATATATACTCAAAAATTTTATAGGGGCTTCAAATCAAGCGGGGAAACTGGTAGGCCCACATGTGAAAAATGGGTCTGTGTGGTCTGTGCACCAAAAAAAAAAATCCGGGAGCACGCAGGCAAAATGAGAAAAAAAAACTCCGACCGTTTTTTTAATTAAATCCCCGACTTTGGGGTCTATTTTCGTGTAGTTTTATGGTTGTATTCTCGTTTTTTTGGGTCTCTTCGATAAATGGAAAAAATATTTTAAAAAAAGAGGTGATTTTGATTGATTTTACTATAAAAAAAACCTGAAAATGGGGCCAAAGTAGGGGAAAAGTTTGATTTTTTTCCAAAGTTCAAAAGTAAACAAATGATGTCATTGTCCAATAAATGTCCAACTAGCCATTCTAATATGCTCTGAATGGGGTTGATGTTATTTATACAATTATTACAGTATTGCAGTTCTGGGTAATAAAATCTTCTATGTTTTGTTTGAAAAAAATTTTAAAAATTTAAAGCAATAATACAGAGGGGGTTGGAGACTGACTGATGAACAAAGAAAATGTTATTTTTGACCGGGAATTCGCGTTTTTATTTTGGGGCCCTTTTTTTGAAAATTTTCATATTTTTAATTTTTGTGAAATTGGGCCCAAATTGGGAAATTTCTGACCACATTTTTGGGGAGTTGAAACGGTAAAGGGGAGTTTTTTGTACTCAATAGATAGAAAAAAAAGGAGTTCTAAAAAAAAGCTAGGTCTGGTCGCTGAACAACGGAATTACCAAAATGGGCTCAAAGTGGGCGAAATTGCCGGGGATTTGTAAATACCCGTGGTCGCTAACTTCGCGAGAGCATAATTCCATCAGTTTTCCATCAAATTTCGTTTTTTTTTGGGTGTCATTACAATCGGGAAAAGATTCTCTATCATTTCATTAGAATTTTTTTTTTTTTTTTTTAAATTTTGCGGCACAAGGAGACACCTCAGGATTGGGGGTTGCGACAGTCAAGGGGTTAATAAGTGATTAACATTACACATAAAGGGATTAAAGAAAAACAGACAGATTTGAATTGTGCAGGTAGGAGGTACACTGCTTAACTCTGAAAGATGGGTGATGATATTGCAGTGTGGTGGATCACTGGAACTGTGATGTCCATGTTCTTATGGAAAGACATCTAGAAAATGAGCAATGGTGAATGTTTTTTTCCTTCATTCCTTGGGTCACCCTACTGTGATGGGAAATAGCCAGTCTTAAAAAAATAAAATAAATAAATAGATAATTATCCAATTCTTTCTTCTGATGTACGCTTACAACTTCCCCATCTCCTGCCATAAAATGCTTCATTGCTGAAATTTATTTTAGCTATAATTGTGTCAAATTTTCTATCACATCTGCCATACCTATCCATCTTAAGCCTTTCTCCAATTCTTTTACCACTCAATACAAGCCTATATAAATTTAAAATAAAAACAACTTTATTACCTGACTAACAGAACCAATCACTGTACGTAACCAAGATGGATCCAGCTGACGTATTGGTATGTCATCAATAGTAATTTCCCCATTTAATGGGTCATACAAACGCAAGAGAAGCGAGCCAATGGTGCTTTTCCCAGATCCACTGGAGCCTACAACAGCAACTACTGAGCCTGTTAAAAAATATAAATAAAATTATTAATCCAGTACAAAAGAAGGTAAACAAAGAAGCAGACTAAGAAACTGACTAATATTATAACAAATAGTATTTTCTAAGAATATATTGGCATAAGCAAGGTAATGATAGACTTTACGTACTCTACGAAACAAAAGGAAACTATTTTTTATTTTTTATTATCACACTGGCCGATTCCCACCAAGGCAGGGTGGCCCGAAAAAGAAAAACTATCACCATCATTCACTCCATCACTGTCTTGCCAGAAGGGTGCTTTACACTACTGTTTTTAAACTGCAACATTAACACCCCTCCTTCAGAGTGCAGGCACTGTACTTCCCATCTCCAGGACTCAAGTCCGGCCTGCCGGTTTCCCTGAACCCCTTCATAAATGTTACTTTGCTCACACTCCAACAGCACGTCAAGTATTAAAAACCATTTGTCTCCATTCACCTCTATCAAACACCTCATGCATACCTGCTGGAAGTCCAACCCCCTCGCACACAAAAACCTCCTTTACCCCCTCTCTCCAACCTTTCCTAGGCCGACCCCTACCCCGCCTTCCTTCCACTACAGACTGATACACTTTTGAAGTCATTCTGTTTCGCTCCCATCTCTCTACATGTCCGAACCACCTCAACAACCCTTCCTCAGCCCTCTGGACAACAGTTTTGGTAATCCTGCACCTCCTCCTAACTTCCAAACTACGAATTCTCTGCATTATATTCACACCCCCACATTGCCCTCAGACATGACATCTCCACTGCCTCCCGCCTTCTCCTCGCTGCAACATTCATCCCCATGCTTCACACCCTAAAAAGAGCGTTGGTAAAACTATACTCTCATACATTCCCCCTCTTTGCCTCCAAGGATAAAGTTCTTTGTCTCCACAGACTCCTAAGTGCACCACTCACTCTTTTCCCTCATCAATTCTATGATTCCCTCATCTTTCATAGACCCCATCCGCTGACACGTCCACTCCCAAATATCTGAATACATTCACCTCCTCCATACTCTCTCCCTCCAATCTGATATTCAATCTTTCATCACCTAATCTTTTTGTTATCCTCATAACCTTACTCTTTCCTGTATTCACCTTTAATTTTCTTCTTTTGCACACCCTACCAAATTCATCCACCAATCTCTGCAACTTCCTTCAGAATCTCCCAAGAGCACAGTGTCATCAGTAAAGAGCAGCTGTGACAACTCCCACTTTGTGTGTGATTCTTTATCTTTTAACTCCATGCCTCTTGTCAAGACCCTAGCATTTACTTCTCTTACAACCCCATCTATAAATATATTAAACAACCACGGTGACATCACACATCCTTGTCTAAGGTCTACTTTTACTGGGAAATAATTTTCCCTCTTTCCTACATACTCTAACTTGAGCCTCACTATCCTTGTAAAAACTCTTCACTGCTTTCAGTAACCTACCTCCTACACCATACACTTGCAACATCTGCCACATTGCCCCCCTATCCACCCTGTCATACGCCTTTTCCAAATCCATAAATGCCACAAAGACCTCTTTAGCCTTATCTAAATACTGTTCACTTATATGTTTCACTGTAAACACCTGGTCCACACACCCCCTACCTTTCCTAAGCCTCCTTGTTCATCTGCTATCCTATTCTCCGTCTTACTCTTAATTCTTTCAATAATAACTCTACCATACACTTTACCAGGTATACTCAGCAGACTTATCCCCCTATAATTTTTGCACTCTCTTTTATCCCCTTTGCCTTTATACAAAGGAACTATGCATGCTCTCTGCCAATCCCTAGGTACCTTACCCTCTTCCATACATTTATTAAATAATTGCACCAACCACTCCAAAACTATATCCCCACCTGCTTTTAACATTTCTATCTTTATCCCATCAACCCCGGCTGCCTTACCCCCTTTCATTTTACCTACTGCCTCACAAACTTCCCCCACACTCACAACTGGCTCTTCCTCACTCCTACAAGATGTTTATTCCTCCTTGCCCTATACACGAAATCACAGCTTCCCTATCTTCATCAACATTTAACAATCCTCAAAATATTCCCTCCATCTTCCCAATACCTCTAACTCTCCATTTAATAACTCTCCTCCCTATTTTTAACTGACAAATCCATTTGTTCTCTAGGCTTTCTTAACTTGTTAATCTCACTCCAAAACTTTTCTTATTTTACAACAAAATTTGTTGATAACATCTCACCCACTCTCTCATTTGCTCTCTTTTTACATTGCTTCACACTCTCTTAACCTCTCTCTTTTTCTCCATATACTCTTCCCTCCTTGCATCACTTCTACTTTGTAAAAACTTCTCATATGCTAACTTTTTCTCCCTTACTACTCTCTTTACATCATCATTCCACCAATCGCTCCTCTTCCCTTCCGCACCCACTTTCCGTAACCACAAACTTCTGCTGAACACTCTAACACTACATTTTTAAACCTACCCTATACCTCTTCGACCCCATTGCCTATGCTCTCATTAGCCCATCTATCCTCCAATAGCTGTTTATATCTTACCCTAACTGCCTCCTCTTTTAGTTTATAAACCTTCACCTCTCTCTTCCCTGATGCTTCTATTCTCCTTGTATCCCATCTACCTTTTACTCTCAGTGTAGCTACAACTAGAAAGTGATCTGATATATCTGTGGCCCCTCTATAAACATGTACATCCTGAAGTCTACTCAACAGTCTTTTATCTACCAATACATAATCCAACAAACTACTGTCATTTTGCCCTACATCATATCTTGTATACTTATTTATCCTCTTTTCTTAAAATATGTATTACCTATAACTAAACCCCTTTCTATACAAAGTTCAATCAAAGGGCTCCCATTATCATTTACACCTGGCACCCCAAACTTACCTACCACACCCTCTCTAAAAGTTTCTCCTACTTTAGCATTCAGGTCCCCTACCACAATTACTCCTCACTTGGTTCAAAGGCTCCTATACATTCACTTAACATCTCCCAAAATCTCTCTCTCTCCTCTGCATTCCTCTCTTCTCCAGGTGCATACACGCTTATTATGACCCACTTCTCGCATCCAACCTTTACTTTAATCCACATAATTCTTGAATTTACACATTCATATTCTCTTTTCTCCTTCCATAACTGATCATTTAACATTACTGCTACCCCTTCCTTTGCTCTAACTCTCTCAGATACTCCAGATTTAATCCCATTTATTTCCTCCCACTGAAACTCTCCTACCCCCTTCAGCTTTGTTTCGCTTAGGGCCAGGACATCCAACTTCTTTTCATTCATAACATCAGCAATCATCTGTTTCTTGTCATCCGCACTACATCCACGTACATTTTACCAGGTATCAAGATCTAATACTAGTGATAAAAACAAAAGGCTTGGACTTACCGATACTTCAAAATGGCTATCAGAGCTAAAAGAAAGAAGTTATGAGAAAAGCTGACTGACAGGAGGAAGATACACAATAACTACACAAGATTATTAAAGAATAAATAAATAAAGAGTAAGGTGATGAGGGTATCAAATGATTTAGATAAATAAAAATTGGATATCAAATTGGGGAGGAGGAGTATGGAAGAAGTGAATGTTTTCAGATATTTGGGAGTTGACGTATCAGCAGATGGATTTATGAAGGATGAGGTTAATCATAGAATTGATGAGAGAAAAAAAGGTGAGTGGTACGTTGAGGTATATGTAGAGACAAAGAACGTTATCTATGGAGGCAAAGAAGGGAATGTATGAAAGTATAGTGGTACCAACACTCTTATATGGGTGTGAAGCTTGGGTTGTATATGCTGCAGCAAGGAGGCAGTTGGAGGCAGTGGAGATGTTCTGCCTAAGGGCAATGTGTGGTGTAAATATTATGCAAAAAATTTGGAGTGTGGAAATTAGGAGAAGGTGTGGAGTTAATAAAAGTAATAGTCAGAGGGCTGAAGAGGGGTTGTTGAGGTGGTTTGGTCATTTAGAGAGAATGGATCAAAGTAGAATGACACAGAGTGTAAAAATCTGTAGGGGAAGGAAGACGGGGTAGGGGTCGTCTTCGAAAGGGTTGAAGGGAGGGGGTAAAGGAGGTTTTGTGAGTGAGGGGCTTGGACTTCCAGCAAGCGTGCGTGAGCGTGTTAGATAGGAGTGAATGGAGACGAATGGTATTTGGGACCTGATGAGCTGTTGGAGTGTGAGCAGGGTAATATTTAGTGAAGGGATTCAGGGAAACCGGTTATTTTATATAGCTGGACTCGAGTCCTGGAAATGGGAAGTACAATGCCTGCACTCTAAAGTAGTAGTTTGGGATATTGGCAGTTTGGAGGGACATGTTGTGTATCTTCATACGTATATACAGTGGACCCCCGGATAACGATCAGCTCCCAACTCGACCAATTATGTAAGTTTATTTTTGTAAGTGCTTTTGTAGGTGTATTTTTAGGAGTCTGAAATGGACTAATCTAATTCACAATATTTCTTATGGGAACAAATTCGGTCTATAACGGCACCCAAACAGACTTCTGGATTGAAATAATATCGTTATGCGGGGGTCCACTGTACTTCTAAACTGTTGTATTCTGGGCACCTCTGCAAAAACAGTGATTATGTGTGAGGTGAAAGTGTTGAATGATGATGAAAGTATTTTCTTTTTGGGGATTTTCTTTCTTTTTGGGTCACCCTGCCTTGGTGGGAGACGGCCGACTTGTAAAAAAAAAAAAAAAATTAACAAGGAGGATTTCTTAGCACCATGAATAGGGAGAAAAAATGTAGTAACTCTCTATTTAGAAGACTAATATGGATAGAGGGGGCCAGTAATGGCAACTGTGGTGGATAGACAAGATTGTTTTGTTAAATCAAGAATATTTCCAAATCAGATGATCCAGCAGATTCTGTCCCCTATTTCAGAACTCCATTAAAAATGAGGATACACTTTATTAACTAAGAAAGATGAGGTATTGGAAGAATATTAGAAAACTCTTTACAAACAGTGACAGAACAATAAAACGAGTTACAGGAAAAGGTAACTTAAAAAAAATGATAAATTAAATACATGTACCAAAAAGGAATATTACAAGCTTAGCTGTTTCTATAGCTACAAATGGGTAAATTACTTGCAAACCACTCTCACAATAGGGCAGAGAAAGAAGAAAAAAAAACTTTTTGCCTGAAGTAAACATGTACCTTCAATAGTTTAAGATGAGAGGCACATATAAGGTGGTTTTCAGAATCAAAACAGACACCAAGACACTTCATCCCACATGCAACTAACTGGTACACAGCATGAGTGCAGAACTCCCAACTAGCTAAACAAAAAAAAAAAAAAAAAAAAATATTAAGAAATTTAATGCATCCTAACCATTAATATCAAGTTTCAATATAAAATTCGGCATGCTAAATCATACATTTTTCATAACTTAAATATTACATATTTATGAAATCATTATTGTTCTTCCAACAAATGGGCCGTATTCCACTGATGCATGATGGCCCAAAAAGAAAAATGAAGGAGTTACTAGCCCCTTGCTCCCGGCACTTTAGTTGCCTTGTGAAGGCTTACTCAGCTCTGTAATAACTTCAGACAGTATTACCAAAGCTGGCTCCTCCTCAGGAAAATTAATGAATAGAAAACGAAATAATAATTCACAAAGATAAACACTTTATTATTTATTAAAGCAAACCTAAAACAATAAAACATGACAGGTGTATCCTATTTGAAAGAAAAATGAAAAATGAAATGAATAAAATAACATTTGAACTCAACGCTAATATATATATTGGGGTGTCTGGTGTTGGTGACACTTCGTGTTGTTGAAATCTTAGCCGTTGCTGATGTGGAGGGGGGGGGGGTCGCAGATGTTGGTGACCACCACCGGCTAGTTCTTCACAGAGTATCGCCGTGAGTATTCTATCCCGATGACAGGAAAGTAGGTTCTTTACCGCTGCAATGATGTGGGGTTACGTCCTGCAATTTCATACAGGTGCACAGGTAATTAAATCCAAAATGGGGAAGTCTCTGGACGATAGTCCTTCTCCGTCAGTTCTTCTCGTTGATTGACAGGTGACCCTCTCTGTCATCCAAGAGTAGTGTTGGGAGCTGTGAGTCGAGTGATTTACTGTTTGACCAGAGCCCCACACGTCACCTTTCGGGGGTGGGGGGGAAGAGGGAGGGGAAAGGATAGTGGGAGCTAGACTGACCCTACGTTAACAAGCAGCCGGTAATCAAACTATCACTTTCAGGGTGGGAGAAAAAGGCGGGAACAGCGGGAGCTTGACTTACCCTACCTTAACAAGTAGCCGGCAATGAAACTATTGTTACTATATACTCCCTTGCTACTCCTATCTATTGAACTTTTTCCTCACACTCCCCCATACCAAGACTTATAGTCAAGGAGTATTAGAAGAATAGGCGAGGAAAAAGTTCTAACATGTGGAAGTCGCGTAAGGCAAGAAATCTTCTACTGACTGTCACGACTTAACCAGTCAGAAATAATTGGATGAACCATTGATATACACAATATGGAACTTAAAAGCCTGGAGTGCCAATGTCCACCTCAAGAGGCGACTGTTGGTTCCCTTAAAAGTTTCTAGGTAAAATCAAAGGTTTGTGGTCCTTTTCTAAAATGAATTTTTTTCCCCAGCAAATAAAATTTAAGTTTGGAGATACCCACACAAGGGCCAAACATTCCTTTTCTATGGTGGAGTATCTCGTTTCTGCGGGAAGGAGTTTCCGGCTTAGGAAGAATACAGGGAAGGGAGTACCATCATGGTATTGTAGTAACACCGAACCTAAGCCAGTATTGGAGGCATCAGTTCTTAAACAAAATGTTTTATTAATATCTGGAATCTTAAGTATAGAGTCTTTCGAAAAGATGCTTTTAATCTCATTAAACTTTTCCCGAGCTACATTGGAAAGTTCAAGAGGTTCCTTCACAGACTTTTTAAGGAAGTCGATAAAAGATGCCTTAAATCAGTAAGGTTCGGGATAAACCGTGCATAAAAATTTACAGAACCAAGAAAGCTACGCACGAGCTTCTTGGTTTTGGGGAATTTAAATACTAATAAAGCTTTGATCTTACTGGGGAGAGGCTGCAGAGAGTTATTAGAAAGTATCAGTCCAAGATATCTAATCTTGTTATACCCAAGGAAGCATTTCTTCAGCTTGGCAGTGAGGCCATGTGAGCGTAACCAAACGAAAAAACTGATGTTAATGTTTGGATATGTTCGCCCCATGTAGATGTCATTACGTAAATGTTATAAAAATAAACTGAAACATTTGGCATATTACCCAAGACCTTTCTCATCAGTCTCACGTAGGTAGCACAGGCAGTTACCAAACCGAAGGGCATAGTTCTATATTACATCAGTCCTTGGTGTGTAGGAAAAGCGTGTACTGCTTAGAAGAAGGATCTAACATTACTTGATGATATGCCTGTGCAATATCAATCTCTGAAAAGAAGGAAGCGTCATAAAATTTGTGTAGATCGCTATCTATTAAGGGCATAGGCTCAGCATCCCACCGAGTTATAGCATTAAGGCCTCTGAAGTCAATAGCAAGTCTATATGAATTATCCTCCTTCTTAACCATGACTACTGGTGAACAATATGAAGATACTGAAGGTTCAATGATCTTTATTTTTAATAATTTGTCTACCTCTGGGTCAAATGCATCCCAAAAGGTGAACGGGAATGGGAAAATTTTCGTTTGATAGGATTGTCCGTCACTAGTCAATCTTATGGACTACCGTGGAGGTAACACCGGGAATATCAGTAAAGGACGTCTGAAAAGTTACTCACACATTGAAGTAGTTCATGTCTCTTATGGTCATCCAAAGATTCATTAATATTAATGTTGGTTCGTCCAAGTGGTCAAAAGTCAACCAAGTCATGTAGTTCTTTATCATAGTCTAAGTTGGGAGGTGTCAATTACGCACACCCTTACATTCTTCAGTTGACGTATCAAGTTCGTGTGGAAAAACTAAGTCAAAGTTATTAAGGCAGTTAACCAAATTTCTTTGGTAATATTTCTTAAGGATGTTGATATGATAAAGCTTAGGTTTCCCCTTGACTTCTATGGGGTAGTCAATTTTCCCAAAAATTTTTTAAAAATACTTTATATGGACCTTTCATGCTACTAATAATTTATTTGACTTGATAGACAAAAGTACAAGAACTTCATCCCCTACTTTAAAACTTCTCCTCTGACTTTTGGAATCAAAATAAGTTTTGTATTGGTCCATTGACAAGCTTAAGTTTTTCGAAACTATGTCAGAGGTCTCCTCAAGTTTGGATCTAAGGTCAAGGAGAAACTGATAAGAACTGAACCTCAGCATTTACCTTCTCATTAGTCCATAAGTCATGAAGGATGGACAGTGGACCTCTGGCCTGTCTACCATAGAGAAGTTCAAAAGGTGAAAACCCCAAAGAGTCACTGGGAACTTCCCTCATGGCAAACAAAGCACAGGGTAGGTAACGATGCCACTCCTTAGGTTTAAGGGAGCAAAGTTTCCTTAAAATGGACTTGAGAATCGAATGCTGGCGCTCAATCCTCCCATTACAGCTGGGATGATAGGGTGTTGTGAAGAGAGGCTTCACTCCTAGAAGTTGGTAGAGAAGTTGGTAGAGATGTTGCATTAAGTCAGATGTGAATTGTGTCCCACGGTCAGACAAAATTTCTCTAGGGATGCCCACTCTGGAGAAGATGGACAAAAGGGCTTCAGCCACCTCTGTAGTAATGGTCTTTAAGGGAACGGCTTCAGGGAAACTCGAAGCATAATCAACTAATGTTAATATATATCTATGTCCCCCAGATGAAAGTGGAGATAAAGGACCAACGATGTCAATAGCTACTCTTTCAAATGGTACCGTAAAGATAGGCATTTTGACCATAGGTACTCGCCTGGTACCTCGGGAGGATGACAGTTGGCAAACTATACACGATCTACAATAGGTAGTGACATCTGAGGACATTTTTGGCCAAAAATAGGTTTCCCTAATTTTATTTAAGGTTTTACGATGCGAGAAATGTCCGGCCACTGGCAGGTCATGAGCCATTTTAAGAACAGTCTCTCTGCATTGACTTGGAGCAACTAAGATGGAATAGTCTGTCTCATCTGAATTTAATGTGAATACTGACTTGTACAAGATTTTTTTTTTTTTTTTTTTTTTTCAACAAGTCAGTCGTCTCCCACCGAGGCAGGGTGACCCAAAAAAAAGAAAGAAAATCCCCAAAAAGAAAATACTTTCATCATCATTCAACACTTTCACCACACTCACACATTATCACTGCTTTTGCAGAGGTGCTCAGAATATAACAGTTTAGAAGCATATATGTATAGAGATACACAACATATCCCTCCAAACTGCCAATATCCCAAACCCCTTTATATACCTTTTATATATTCAAATTTATATGAAAAGTTTTTCCTTTGGATAACTTGATTTTGTTTAGCGGCATTATGGCAATTCTGAAGAGAAGGGCAATTACGTTGTAAATTGACAAAAGAGTCCTTTGATATATCTAAAGGCTTGAAGTTAGGGAAAATCAAAGGATGGACAGAAGGAGAAGCCTGGGCTTTAGTCTGAACCCTAGTCAAGACATTTATGGTATCGGAGGTGATATCTTCACTTTCATCCAACAAGTGAACCGGTGATCCTACTACCTTGCTTTCGAGAGTAGCATCACTGGTTTTTAATCCCACATGAATCTCACGAGACATTGTCTCATCTGAGCTTTCGAGGGGCTTCTCTGACTTTACAGGAAGAGGATCTGAAACACTTATGTCCATCTTTGGCGATGAAAGGTCAACATCAGAAGGAAGAATGGCACCTTTTACATTACCTATTAGTATGGAGCAAGAAGTGATGGGAGCTAGTACTGGGTTCAGACCAACCGTGAACCATTTAGACCTAATGTAACAACAGATGGTAGGAAAAGTGTCTGTACGGCCCAAGTAGTCTGAAAGTATAGCAGAGGAATGAGTTTCTTTAAGATTAGGGAACAGCTTATCAGAAATTACTATACATGTGCATCCAGTGTCTCGTAAAATGGTAGATACATTAAGTCCATTAACTGTTCCGAACAAAGGGTGCTTGGCATTACAGTCTTTAAAACATCCCTTTCCAACTTTTTGGACCTTCTTAGAAGGACAATTTTGGGCGTTTATGTCCCTTAACACCACACAAATGACAAACAGGAATAAAAGAAGTCATTTTACTTTCCACTAGAGGCTTTGATTTCTTAAGGTCTGATGAACCCTTGCTCTTAAGAGTTCGATTTCCCTTTAGTCTTTATAGGAATTTTGAGCCTCAGCATACAGGTCAGCAGCCTCAGCAACTTCCTCAGCTTTAATCAGGTTACGTTCTCTAATGAATGTTCGTATCTGGTGAGGAAGAGCTGTCAGGAACTGGTCAGCAACAATGAAGTCTCGAAGAGATTCATAACTGTGATCACTTCCTGAACTCTCTATCCAAAAGTCAAACAAACGAAAGAGTGTTACCTGTAACTGTTGAAAGTTCTGGCCAGGCTGTAAGGTGGCATACCTGAAATCTTTCCTGTAAGAATTAGTGTTTTTTTGGTATGCTTTAAGGATTGCCTTCTTCAGTAGGTTATAATTACATATAATATCATGCGACAAACTTGCATAGATATTCAAAGCTGTACCAGAAAATAACATTCCTGACCTGGTAGCCCAGGTGTCAGCAGGCCATTCACAGAGGGTAGCGGTATTTTCAAACCTGATAATGTAAAAAGTTATGTCTTCCCCCTCTGTGAAGGGAGGTAAATTAGGTGTTGGAATATGTGCACTAGCTGCACGTTGTTCCATTACTCCTTCATCTAATTGCTGTTGTGAGAAAGTTAACTTCTTATTCTCTAATTCAAGGCGAGTTTGTTCGAGCTCGCGATCCTTTTCTCTCTCCCTTAACTCATATTCTCTGTCCTTTGCTCTTTCCTTAAGTTCCCTTAATTTAACCTGTTCCTCACGTATCTTAGCTTGTTCCTCACATACTCTAGCTCTCTCCTCACGATCAAGTCTATCACGCTCCTTTTTGTCTTCTCTCTCTCTTTCTGTCTTTCTTGGATTTCTCTCCAATTCTCTCCCCTCTCCTTTTTCCCCTTCTCTTTTGTTTTTCTCTCTCTCCTTTTCTTCTTCTCTTTCCCTTTCTGTCTTTCTTCTCTCTCAATTCTCTCTCAAGTCTTTCCTGGATCTTAGCACTAAAGAAAGATTCTAAATTTTTCCCTGTTATTCCTAACTTACTTTTCCCGCATTATCCAAAACTGGTATTCATCCATACTTGCAAGAATAACTTAAACTATCAGGGGAAATGAAACGGGTATTAAAGAAAACGGAGGGTTCAATTCCTGCTCCGCTCAAACTGTAATATA